CTCTTCCGGGCTTTTTTCCTTATGGCAAACATCAGCAACTTTCTCTCCAGATTGTCGCAGAATCCTTAGATAGTCCTTTAGATTCTTATTAACTTTACCGACATAATTTATGTTAGGTAGAGTAAGGTTCATCTATCACAGTTAGAAAACATTTTAAGAGATCCAGCTACAATTTTAGATAATAAGATTTAAACTTTGAGCCACAAGTAACTTTTGATGCACTAAGACAGATTTAGCTTACCATCATTCCTCTGTGAATGAGATTTTTATCCTCTGTTAAGTTAGCAAATCCAGCAAATCGATCAGAGTCGCATAGTTTGCATTTGAATATCTCTTGGTAGCCATTAACGGTTCCAAAGTTGTAAGATTGACATCGCTCTCCATCCACACACTCAAACTGAGAGGAACTTTCCGAATCCATTTTTTTTTATCATTCTTCCATTCAGTTTTTACCCTGTTACCTTTTAAGTGAGGTTAACAGCTTTGAGGTCTGCTTCTGAAATACGGCTTATGCCGTACACACACACACAAAAAAGAAATATTATGCTAAGATGCATGTTTTTCTTCACCTTCAGAAAGTTTATGACGAGGAAAAGTGATTGAATGTTTAATTTTTTTTTGCCAAACTAGGCTAACAGGTACAAGGAAAGCGCCAGAATGAAAATAGAGTACGCCGTTGAATTATCACGCGACCGTTCTTAAAACCATCAATCAGTAGGTGTAATGTCAGCATTGTTTGGGTGTTTTCTTGGCTTTCGATCAAACAATTATCGGGGGCGAACAAACTGTTTTACCCGCCAATCAGAAAGATTTAGACGGAAAGCTAATAAACTTTTCTCAGAAGCAAGCAAACAGAACAGTTTGGGTCATAAAATTAAGACGAAACTGTCCGTAGACACGTCCAATCCAACGATTTGTTCAGATATTACAGCCCTCCGCTAGTCGTGCTTAATGACAATGAACCTTAGACCAGCAAAATGCTGGAACGTGCTCGGAAAAAAAATGAGACAAAACAACTGCTAGAAATTGGCAACAAAACAAGCTAGATCGGTATAATTCTATCAAATAACAGAAGGGTTTGATGGGAAAAGTATAAGAGAATAGTTATTAACCTAGAAGCTTTATTATAACTGTTACAAACTTATAAATCACATGGAAGATATATCTATCTCTTGATAGGTGAAGATTTTCACTAGATATGTCTGACATGTCTTTTTCTATATTGGACTGGAGTGATGCAAACGACTTGCTCTGCAACAACAGTAACTGCAGGGAATTGATCCCTATTCCTACATAAGAAATCGAGGTAAATCAAGTACTAGCACCTTTCTTTATATAATATAATATCAAGCAGTATGGCAGCCTCCGTTTATAAGGAGTTACGATAGAAATTAATTGCAAGTTTAGTTTGCATATCAAGGTGAAGTTCTATGAGGCCAAAATATTTTGATTATAGTCAAAAGCTTGTGCAAAGAAGAGTCCCCTTAAAGTTAATAGGTAATCTTTTCGTGCGATTGACCTTGGTTTGACCTTATCAAACCTTCCAAGTTGTCATGTCACACAGTACTTGGAAGGGTTCTTCTTCATCAGGGTAAATCAAATACACTCCGTCGGAAGTGGAGCCATTTTGATAATGGTCAAGACAGTTCCTGGGACAATCTTTAGAATAGAAACCGAAAGGTGTAATCTTTTGAGAGTATAAAGTTACCGACTTCTATAACCCACCTTTTCATTTTCTACGCAATTAAGTTAGCTACTTTATAGTTAGTCATGTGGTGTAAACTCACCGGACAGTTATCACACAATAACCCCCGTCTACGTCTGTATTTGTCCCCAAATTATTTCCATCGGAGAGAAACAAAGCCAGCGGAAAAAATATTAATTTCAAGAGTTTCACTTTTTCATCTTTATCACTTTACATGGAAGAAAAAATAACTCGTTTTGTGGAGTCCAGTAATAGTGACACTAAAAAGCTGATCTGAAATGCTGCTCCTAAAGTACAAAAAAAGTCGACAAAATTTGCTTTCAACTCGCTTGACGAGAATTACTGGAAGGGTTATAAATTAATAACAACCCTTCTGGCTTGTTGGTCTGTAGGCTGATAACGTCCTTGACTGAGACATTGTCCTCAAAGTTTTGCTTGTCTACCAATTATTCATTTCTCAGACAAATATCTCGGCACGTGATAAAACCTGGAACACCAGGTAACCATTAACTATATTTTTTTTAAAAGTTTTTTTATTTAGTTTTTCCACGGTGTTCCGGCATGTTCCGGTGTTCTGGTATTTTCTAGGATATTCCTCGTATTCCGGCATGTTCCGGCATGTTCCACATGCTAAATATCTTGGCCGTGGACATTATCAGCCGAAATACCAGTCACCTGAAGTGGTTTTTTTCCTAATCATATATTGGTGTTATAGCATCCACCAAAGCATGAAATTAATGAAAATGTCCTATCTTAACATTTTTTGTTTCCGTCATAATTGACCACCAAATTTCGTACCTCATGCAGAATATTATTATTGCATATTAGTTTAGGAGATTTTCTCTCTCTCTCCAACAGAGTGGACGTGAGTTGATGTTCTCCCTCGCCATCTAACTGTTTGTTATATTCGAAGTTGCCTGTTTCACCTTTCGTAAACTCTCTTCGTCTAGTGCCTATTACCCAGTTGAATCTGCACCCCAGCACTTGAGAGCATCTCAATTATACCGTTCACCGTTTACCCTGTTAGAGAAATTCCATCCCCAACTGTGTAAATCCATAGCTGTCAGACTACAAAAATCTAACCACGTCTATCCTTACCTCTGTTACACTTACAAAAGTGAGTGTTTGATCTGTATTCAACCACACATATTTCATTCTCTGTGCATGGATTATCTTGTTCGCAGGTGCTCTAAAAGTAGGGAAATAAAATTGCCTTACATATATATTCATATTTTAAAGTTGAAGGAGGACTTTTTCGTTAAGTGGGCTAAGAACTTCCTGCCTTTTGTCGATCTTACATCTTTGAAGAGAAAAAGCTGGGACAGTTTTATTTTTGCAAAGTCTAAGAACAAACTAATCTCACAAAGGTGGAAATGAAGACTCGATTGTATTCCCTTTACAGTCATTTGAGTGTCTCATTAATTAATTTTCCACTTTGTCAAACGAAAGTCTCTATAGAATTTAGATTATATGATTTCATTTCACAGTAAAGTTTGTCCTCGAAATATCCTTATCTTTTCTGTCAAGAAACCCTGCCCTTTTTGACAGGTGCTTTAAGGCACCAATAACTTTGGCAGATCATAGTTGGTTTTTACGGAAATAGCTGTAATGTGTCGACAGAGAGGTGAAACAATCATTCATTATCAACTAGTAATTCATTAAGGTAGATAGAGACAGTACACGTATGGAATTCCTAAACACTCAGCAGTAAATTTACACCGAAGGAAATACACTTAAAACGAGCTGGATGACATTCAAGTTCATCAAAACAACTATTTTTCACAAATTCCCTTCCGAAGGGCAGACTCCATCAAAATAATGTAGTATTGTCACCTGTATTCCTCTGTAAATGGCTCCATCCTCTTTCGTAAAATTCACACCACTGATAAAGCGGTCCGAGTCACTTAGTTGGCATATACTTATCTCCTTGCCATGGATGGGAAGGAAGTTGTAAGATAAACATCGCTCTTCAGAGATACATTCAAACTGACAAGAGATCTCAGACGCGACCTCAAAGTCTCTGAGGACACTCCCGTTGAGTTTTCGATCTTCTATCGCCTTTGCGAAATTAGCAGCCTTAAAATCGGGCTCCGACAACCGATTTGAACCTTGTGCGATAGCCGTAAGTGAAAACATCAAAAAGGTCAATAGGTACATGTTTAGTTGTTTCATTTTTATCTTGCCTTCGACTCAAATTGATTTGGCTGAATTTTCAAACTGGTGGCGCTTAACTTTTAAGCAATTTCAAGGATTCCTATTCATAATTAATAAGCTCCGTCGAAATTAAAAACAGAGTTACCATTCTTGTGACTTAATTTACATGCAAATTATATATATCACTAACTTCCCAATATGCAATATCCATCTTTTACGTCCTTCAAAATAGCAATCATCATTTGCATCGTCACGATTATTTGGATATTTTCATGGCTTCTGATGAAAACATTTATTAAAAATGGACAAAAAGCATTCCTCAATCCAATCAGAGCATTTTCATTCGGAAAGCTGATGTTTTTATTTTTCTTTCGCGGGACAACAAAACAGCTTATCACATTTGTGTAGCAGCTAACACGAAAGATAAATAAAAAAGGCAGGTACTTGAAATTGGTAACAAAACAAGCTGAATTAGCATAATTCTACCAAATAAGCCGAGAAAAGGATGTAAAAAGTAACAAAAATTAAATTTCAGTATTTATACGATAAGGTGTCGTGATGTTCGCCAATCTTTTGTATTCAATAATTAATTTTGTCAAAACAGGAACTCGAGAGAGAGAATTGGCAATTGGCGATACCAATTCTATAAGAGTTCTGTAAACATTTATGCGATGTACTTGTATCGTTGCCACAGATAGATTACAAATTTTACCAGCCAAGCAGAGAAAATAAACGGTTGAATATGTTTCAATATGTAAATGTGATTAAGGTATTTCACAACACGCACACAATAAAAGGTGTCAAATATTTTGCGTTGTTAACTCCGTTTTGTCTAATAACACCATCCTTAAAGGCATCAAAGGATTATGATTCTCTGAAAGTGAATGAAAAATTACATTTTAGATACATACTAACTTTTTGTTTGCTACTTCAGCATCCTGGTCGCTTTCGTTTTAAAGCAGGAACTCCTAAGGTGTTGCAAACCAACTTGAAAGCTATATCAGAAACAGAATCAGTTTACGCGTCACAGATATCTGAGCCTTGTAAACTACTATTTGCTAAAATCTTACAGGTACAGGCTACAAATTTGAAATCATGCTGGTCGAAGTTTGATCTCGATGCGCTTTAAAGAATAATCTTGTCCTCGAAATGGTGCACATGTGACTCCTTAAGCGTAACCTCCACCCTGATACAAACCATTTGGATTAGCGGCACGACAGTCACTATACCACCAGCCACCTTTATATAGCACTGCACAATTTGCATCCTCATAGACGTCGTTGTCCTTGTCCCTGGTTGTAAACCTCATATTTCTAAATTTCAAAATAAAGAACTTCTTGAGAAAATGAGAAGCTGGATAGCAATGCTACTGAAAGCAACACACATCCAAGAAGCACTGCATTGACACAAAATTGTAAGAATGCCCATCAATGCCTTTCGAATGCAAATATATAAGCAAGTAATTTAAGGTTTAGTCAGAGGTCAATCAAAAGTATGAGTCGGGTAGAACTCGCATAGATTTGCCAGAGTTATAGTCAGGCAACCCATGTTACACGGAGAGAAGTAATTCTGATGTAGGTAAAATGACGTATTAAAGCACCGAGAGATTAAATAAGTGGAAAAGACAGGTCTAGAGTCCTCGGTGCCTATCGTTGAGTGAGGTGCAATTCTGCAATTTACAGTTAGCTTCCCCTCTCTCATTGCAAACCAACCGGGGATAGCAAGTTCACCACTTTACTTATAGCTGTATGGCTCGATCATAAATAAAACAATTTTCGAAGAAAGAGCCAAGCAAATGAGGTGTACGGATCTTCAGCTTTCCTCAGTTAAGGATCTCTGGCGCATTCTTAGGCAGGTACACTTCAGAGGTTTCCCAACATCTGTATTTATTCAGGTAAGCACCGGAAAATACAATGAACAAATCATACCTGATGGGCTGAGAGTGAAATTGCAATGATTCCCTTGCAGTGCCTCGGTATACGTCGATCGTCACTCGATAATTATCACCGTCGTCGGTCGCAGAGAAAGTCGTGTACTCAGCAAATCGTTGGTCGCCTTCATAATCCTCCATATCAGTGCGAACCATCATGTTGGCAGATGCAGTCAGACGGTGAAGATAATCGTTCCCTAGCCGAAACTCGCCCTCCAGATTTCCGAAGCCTTTTTGTATGAATCCCAGTCGACATAAAAGTCTACAGAGCCATCCATGCGCCTTTGAAAGGTGGTCCATCCTCCAACATCAGTTTTCATGTCACACAGCACTTGAAATGGTTCTTCTTCATCAGGGTAAACCCAGTACACACCGTCAGTTGAGGAATCATCTTGATAATAGTGTTTTTGGGGCAATCTATGAATTAAACATCTGAGGATATAACTCACTGAGAGTATCAACGTTATTGTCTGTAATGAAAATAAAAATTAATGGCGTCATAACCTTTAGGCCTGCACGCTCAAAAGTAGGAAAACATATAACGTTATATGACTCGCCTGACACCCCGTGCGCAATCACAAAGAAAGCTTCTAACTGTGGACTTGTACTCGTTGGAAATAAAGAAGTGAGCAATAAGACCCGTTTTTCGATGAATTCTGATTTTCTTGTTCTGACTCGAAAAAATAAAGAGAACAGTTTTTAAAGTAGGATCTTTCTTGTGGTTGTACCGCGTGCACTCGTCTTTCGGGTCCTATTTAAGCTGAAACAAAAATTTTCCAAAGTTTCGAGAAGTAGTGGTCATGTGTTAAAGTGCTTATTGAGTGACAGGGCCATACTGGAATATATTCGGCTCGTGGCGAAGACTCAAGGAGCTCGTGGCACTTAGTCTTTACATTATGACCCCGAGTTAAATATTTTCACTCTCCAGCCCTCCCACTCCATTAAATTCAATTCAACGCCTCATAGCTCTCTAATACTAACACCAACCAGTATTATAACCTGTATTCCTTTAAACAGTGCTCCATCTTCTTTGGTAAAATTAACTCGAAGGCGATTATACGATGAGCGAGGTATCATGGAATTAGAAATTAGAAACTTCTATGATAATATCGCTGAGGATATGGCTCCTTGACAATATCAAATTATCATTTGTAATAAAGTGGCTTCAAAGTTTCTAGCAATTCTTCAAAATATGAATATATTACCCAGATTGTATACCATTCCGACGACTTAAGTAATTCGCATATGCACACCATTGCTGTCCCATATTCGAAGTCAGATAACAATAAGCCGTTATTGGATTAGGTTGAGCACGGTATTATGAATTATCAATGCCGTGATCGAAGGCTGAGGCAGATAACACAGACTCTAGGTTGGATAACTCATGATATCACGAAAAAAACCGAATTAAATAATTGTTTTATTGTACACATTTTGTTCAATCTGTTAAAGAGGACACTAATCTCTAAGTCTGCAAAAGTTTGAGTATCGAGATACGAAGGACCACCGGGTCTCCAGTTACCTTCTATACACTTACAGAACTGAGTGTTTGATTTGTAGTCAACAAGACACCTTTCATTCTCTTTGCACGGATCATCCTCCATGCAGGGGCTCTAAAATTATGGAAAAAATAGAAATAAACGAATATCCTTTCGAAAGTGATTTGGTCTTAAATGCTTTAACTTCTAAAAAACTATTTACCAAATGAATATTTGAGCACCTGACAACTGGGTGAGAAGTGTACTCTCCGTTTAAGAAAAAAGGCTGCAATCTATTTTAAAATCAAATCTTGAGTAATGAGCCGTACGATGGTTGACATTGAGTCAAATAAAACATGCATTTCTATAGGCTCCCCGCCCGAGAGTCCCATATCATTAAAATCGAGTTGTGTCATAACCTTTATTCCTTTATATAATGCTCCATCTTCTGTTGAAAAATTTACATGACCAGAAAATAGGTCAGAATCGCTTAGCTGGCATCTGTTTGTCTCCTTTTTTGCGATGGATGGAAAGGAATTTGTAACAAACATCGGTTTTCAGAGATTTATTAAAACTGACAAGATATATTCAACTGACTGATTTCAGAAGCCACCAAAAAGTCTCCCATTGAGTTTTTATCTTTATGGCCTATGCAAAACTAATTAATACATGGTTGCTTGAACATATAGAATTTCTCTTCACTATGCGCGCCCATGTATTATTCTCTATTTATTATATATTGAAACACTGGATAGCGTTGAAGGCGCGCTCTGATTGGCTACTCAAATTCCGATTATCCTTTGCTAATCACTTTTGAAATCATATTTTTGTGCTATATTATCTCTCTGTTTTAGTATATACTAATACTATTACATCTCAGTATTGGTGGTGAGCAGTGGATATTTACTTCGCCGTCGTGCGCCTATGTAAATATCTCTCATTAGCCACCTATACTTCCGTGAATAGTTGTTAAGTAAATGATGAGGCTTTCCGTAAAATCGCCCTCTGTTCTGATCGGCTGCCGTGATTATTCCACAAGAAATTGAACTAGCATGATTGAAGTAGTTCGATAAGTAAAGTACTTTATTTGAAGACCTCGATAGAAGGGGTTTTTTGTAGGTTCACCGGGAAAAGAAAAGAAAATTATACAATCGATGATAAAGAGGTATGGAATGAAAATAAACAAAGAGGAAATGAAATCGGCATTGCTTCTTTGCATGCAGGCCATACATTGTTTGTGCGAGAAGTTGTTTCACTTTTTCTTTCTTTTTTTTGAAGGTATTACTCGAAACAAATCTTATCATAATGTGCATCTTTCCCAATTTAACTTTGCCAATCAGTGTTATGGGGAATTGTTTCATGGAGCCAGATCCCGCTATTAATGTCTTTGAAGGGAGCGAATGTCGGAAAATTAAAATTAATTTTGCACAAAAGGTTCTTATTACGGTCATCTTTTCATACAGTCTCCATTGTTTGAGAAGTTGTTTTCACTGCGATTTTTACCAATTTCCATCCTTAATAATTTCTTTTTGTATAGGAAACGATTTACGCTACCGATTAATTCAATAGGTGACGGCTTGACCAAACACCATGTGCCTCTTTTTACTGTTTAAGTGTCAGGACACTATGGCAACAGGAGGCACTTAAAAGAACTTATCAGTTGTCGCTCAGTTGAACTTAACACTAGTTAAATTATTTCGCGTGAAAGCGCACGCACCATGTCGGTTCATATTTTCAATCTGATAGTGGTAGCAATAGAAAGAACTGGATGTGTAGAAAAAAACAATGTCAAAGTTAGCCCGGTATTCCTAGTCAATGAAAGAAAAAACTAGGCCGCCCGACAACAACAAAATTACAGCTCTGCGTTAACCATGGATATGTATGAGCAACACATATTTTTCCTGTCCAGAATAGTCATTAAAGCGTATATTTGAAACCGTTTTTGAAACTCTTGATGTTTTCTTAATTTTTGCCGTTTCTTTGTTTTTGCAAAATAATCTTATGTGAGGACGCATTCATTTTCAACCAGATTAGTTCTTTCTTTTATAAGTAACACATTCATCTTAAAATATTTGTTTTTGTTTTTGTTCTTTGTGAGTATGCTTATTTTCCACGGAATCCTCAATTTCGGTTTGAATAGTATTCGCCTCGAGGTTTTAATCTGAAACATATCTGATATGAGTTTTTAGGTATTATTTTAGCGTTAATAAACTTTTTCCTTACCGCTAAACTGTAGTGATGATAAGAGTTGTTCCAGTTAAGTTTGTTGGGATATCGAAATCTGTCCGCTTTCAGCAGCGCACAGGAGTGTCCCGTTAGATCCGCTTCAACTGCAAAGTTGACAGAGATGCAAAGTTCGTGTCGGATGCAGTGAAGGCCACAGGCCATTGAATCGTAGACTTTGTAAGATGCCAGTTGATCAATGTTTAGCATTCTATTCAAATGCTCGACAAAATAAACATTATTCTTTTCATCAGATCTGCGATATTGTTCACTAGTAGTAATAGTAAAAGCTGTTAGAATTTTGAAGAACTGGAGCAAAACAAGAAACTTTGACATTTTGGATTATTGCTCGACCCAAGCCGGATAGAAATGATCAACGCCAAAACAAGGCCCCCTTTAAAACAGCAATATTTTAGTTTATAAACTGCTAATAACATGACAACTAAGAAAAAAAAAAGGTGATTGAATTGAATCAGTAGATACAAAATTAGCTATTTTATTGATGTCAGTAACTGATTGGTGCGCCCTCCCCTGCTAATGAACATTATTCACTCATCAGCGGGTGAATAATGCGAAGAACACAATAAAAAATCATCAGAGAAACTTGCGTTTCGACTCGTTAATGAAGCTGTTCCGAAAAACAGGAGGAATGGCCAGAGTAAGTCTATAGGATTTTACGTAAAGGCGAGAAAGGCCATCAAATATAGTTGCACTCAAACTTAATACGTTAACGCTGTAATCTTCAATGCAGTATGATAAAGCCTAAACAAAAAGGCCTAAATGGGCCATCCGAAACAAATTTCCAGTAGACAAGTTGAACTGAAGGGCTGATAGATAACACGCCTGGACAATACATGTTAGAATCTTTGCCAAAATCTAGTGGTCTGAAAAGCAGTTTCGAAACAAGTCCTAAATGAGTGTATAAGGGTTGCCTTACGAGAAAATTCTATATATGTCATGCCCTAACTTCTGTGCGTATACTGTTCGTTTTTTTATGAACCATAACACAGCGGCAAAATTAGTACGCAAGCTCCGTGCTACTGGTCGATAAATTGGAGTTATTGACCAAGCTTGTTCTGTTAAGATGGCTGGATACTAGCTGAGTTCTTAGTAACCGGAGACTAAAATCCAGCCATCTCTGTTTTCTATGCAAGAATAATCTCAAGTCAGCAAAATGGGTGTTATTCCCTTGCAAGATTACCGTAATGACCTTCTGATCCTAGGAAATATGTGCCTCAACCATTGTGAATACGAAGCTGCTATGACCTACTTCGAAGTGGCCTTGAAAATTATACACTCAGGTGATGCAAACGACGCTCTCGGAAAAGCAAAACTCTATCTCCTTGTGGGAACCACGCACAAATGTAAGGGTAACTTCGAGCAAGCGAAGAACTATCATACGCATGCACTGGACATTCATCTGAAACAGCTTGGACCTGAGCATGTATATGTCGCAGCTTCTTACAATAACCTGGGTACTGTATACAGTGACCTAGGTGATTTCCAGAAAGCAAAAGAAAACCATGCACGTGCACCAGACATTTACCTGAAACAGCTCGGACCTGAACATGTAGATGTGGCAGCCTCTTACAATAACCTGGGTATTGTATATAGTGATCTAGGTGATTTCCAGAAAGCAAAGGACAACCATACACGTGCACTGGACATTCGTCTTAAACAGCTTGGACCTGAGCAAACTCATGTCGCAGTTTCTTAAAATAACCTGGGTACTATATACAGTAATCTCCGTGATTTCCACCGAGCGAAGGACTACCATGTACGTGCACTGGAAATTTCCGTCTAAAACAGCTCGGACCTGAGCATGTAGATGTCGCAGATTCTTACAATAACCTGGGTACTGTATACAGTCATCTAAGTAATTTCCAGCAAGCAAAGGACAACCATACACGTGCACTAGACATTTATCTGAAACAGCTCGGACCTGTGCATGTAGATGTCGCAGCCTCGTACAATAACCTGGGTACTGTATATAGCGATCTAGGTGATTTCCAGAAAGCAAAGGACTACCATGCACGTGCACTGGACATTCGTCTGAGACATATCGGACCCTGGCATATGGATGTCGCAACTTCTTACAATAACCTGGGTAATGTATACAGTGGTTTAGGTGATTTCCTCCAAGCAAAGGACTGCCTTGCACGTACACTAGACATTCGTCTGAAACAGCTCGGACCTAAGCATGTAGCTGTCGCAACTTCATACAATAATCTGGGTACTGTATACAGAAATCTAGGTGATTTCCAGCAAGCAAAGGACTACTATGTACGTGGATTGCACATTAATCTGAAAGAGCTCAGACCTAAGCATGTAGATTTTGCAACTTCTTGCAAAAGCCTGGGTACTATACAGTGATCTAGGTGATTTCCAGCAAGCAAAGTACTACCTTGCGCGTGCACTGGACATTCGTCTGAAACAGCTCGGACCTGAGCATGTAGTTGTCGCAGATTCCTACAATAACCTGGGTACTGTATACAGTGATCTAGGTTATTTCCAGCAAGCAAAGGACAACTATGTACGTGCACTGGACATTTATCCCAAACAGCTCGGACCTGAGCATGTAGATGTGGCAGCCTCTTACAATAACCTGGGTACTGTATTCAGTGATCTTGGTGATTTTCAGAAAGCAAAGGATTACCACGCACGTGCACTGGACATTCGTGTGAAACAGCTCGGACCTAAGCATATAGATGTCGCAGCTTCTTACAATAACCTGGGTACTGTGTACAGAAATCTAAGTGATCTTCAGAAAGCAAAGCACAACCATGTACGTGCACTGGACATTCGTGTGAAACAGCTCGGACCTGAGCATGTAGGTGTGGCAGCTTCTTACAATAACCTGGGTACTGTGTACAGTGATCTAGGCTGTTTCCAGAAAGCAAAGGACAACTATGCACGTGCACCGTCTGAAACAGCTTGGATCCGAGCATGGAAATGTCGCATCTTCCTACAATAACCTGGGTACTGTGTACAGTGATCTAGTTGATTTCCAGCAAGCAAAGTACTACCATACACGTGCACTAGACATTCGTCTGAAACAGCTCGGACCTGAGCATGTAGATGTCGCAGATTCTTTCAATAACCTGGGTACTTTATACAGAAATGTAAGTGATTTCCAGCAAGCAATTGACTACCATGTACTTGCAATGGACATTTGCCTAAAACAGCTCGGACGTAATCATCTTAAAGTTGGAGAAACTTATGAAAATATTGGTGACGCACACAATGATCAGGGTTACGATGAGGAGGCGAAAAGGAACTATGATCATGCTTTGGCGATTTGTGTTCGAAACCTTGGCTCTGGACACGTTAAAGTTAGAATTATTCAGAATAAGCTGGCTCAATTATAGCAAAATACTCGGACGGCCTTTGTATATGCAGACGCGCATGTTTGCTCTGTAACCTATGATGAAAATGTTGGATTACAGATGTCAAGCTCAGGCATCTCATCACTAAATAATCTTGATGCATGCATACTTTGTTTCGTGCGAACTTCAAGACTAATTAATAACAAATTTCGCTATCGATACGATAAGGGTTGATCAATACGTAACCAACACTTTTTGTTAAATCACACCTACTTTAAGGATTTCTTCTCTTATTTTAAACATTTAGACATCTTTAAATTCTGAAGAGAAAGCTATGAGGTTCTTTTACGGACAAAATATCGAACATGGATACATTAATGTTTTGTTTAATTACGTTATTGTTATGCGTTATAATACAAGTCTTAAAATAAAATAAATAAATTTCATCCGGAATACATCGATTTTGGATGTCATACATCGATGTTGTGCAGCATACATTGCTTTCCTAGCTCATTCACGCGTGACCTTATATAACTAAAAGATGTTCAATAAAACTAAAAGATGAGGAAGCGGAAATAGAAATGACCGGAAGTCAGATTAAACAAGAAGCCCCGGAAACGAACCCTTTCAAAATGGCGGAAATAAAGGCAATGTTTGAGAAGCACTACGCAAGGTGTACGGATTTGGTTGCCCAACATCGAAGAATTTTTTACGTCTTTGGGTAGGCTACTGGAAAGTACAGAAGGGCAAAGGAACACTGCGTCCTACGACTCGGCTGAATTTTTTTAAGTCGTCGTTTACCAGAAAACGAAAGAACTCTTGTCACTTTGACTCTAGGAATGGAAGAAGCCTTCCCAAACGAAGTTGAGGTGATCTCTGATCTAAACGAACTTGTTTTTCTTATGAGCGAACTTTCAAGGAACTTTGACAGAATTTTCGAGGACTCGCAACTTTCTACGTTTACTGTACCATCGTCCCTTAACGATCGTCTTTCAACTGTTGCAAGGAACGGTTTAGTTGGCAGACCAAGGCTACAGATCTTACAGCAAGAGCTGCAAACTCTGCACAATGACGCCGATTTTCGTTGGGCTGATATCAGAAGAGTTCTTGGAATCTCCGGGAGAACTTTGCGCCGTCGAAGACATGAATTTGGGTTGCCAGTTGGTGTGGGAGAGAATTTTAGTGATGTCTCCAACGATGACCTTGACGAATATGTGAGGGAAATTCTTGAAGTGACACCAGGCGCTGGTCAACGTCTGGTTGAAGGGGGCTTAAGGGGCTTCCGAATCCAGTGCCATCGTATTCAGGATTCTATTCGAAGAGTGGATCCGGTTCTTCGCACTTTAAGAGCAGCGCAACAGATAATTCGTAGAGTGAACAGTGTGCCATGCCCTAATGCGTTATGGTAAAGTAAACGAATTCTTTGAAGCGCTATTTAGTTAACACTACCTTCTTTCTAACGAGTCTCTGTTCAGAGGGGTCTCCATTTTTAACAGGCCCCCCTACTCCATTAGCGCCCACCACCCCTCTTTTCAAAATAGTTCGTTATTTCTCTAAGGGCAACACCTCCCTGGGGGGACTCCTATATAAAAAGGACAGGGATGCTTGTTATACTTTTTAGGGTTTAAAAATGCAGGTTTGGTACCTCTTATGGTGGTCTGTTCTAAAAGGTCCACAGCAGGAGCTTTTGTGCTATCTCTTAGGTAGGGTCTTGAACAGAAAAAAATGTCAGCTAGGGTTAACTGTGTTGTTTCAGAATTGTTTCCTCTTAGAGCTGAAAAGCATATTAAGCTAGCCCATAAACAGGATCTTGGTACCTTTTAAGGGTTCTTTTCAAAATTTGCGACAAGCACTCCTTTCCTTTTTATATGGGAGTTCCCTCCACACAGGGGCAACACTGGTTTTAAATCTGTGATACAAGGGAGGTCAGGCTGTAATTTTGATGCATGAGTATTAATGCCAATTCAACTCATGATTTGAGATACTTCCCCCAATTCTACTTAGCCCCCTCACTAATCACCCTAATCCAGTTTTCCAGCCCCCACCTTCCCCTGATATTATGCTCAAAATTCTTGCCTATCATGCCTGTTACTCATGGGTGATCACAAAATGCCTCTTGTTGTTGTTATGATTATTATTTTTGTTGTTGTCATTATAATTATTACCACTATTACTCAGATAGGCAGATTTAACTTTTTTTACATACCATATTTAACCTAACTTATATGTGATAGTGTAGTGGAACAAATGTCTTCATGGTGTCCAACAGGCGCATTGGTGGCAACCACAAACTAATCCAGCCATATAAAATTGTCATTCATGGTGGTTTAGATGGTATTTCAAGAATGATAGTGTTCCTTCAGGCATCAACCAACAACAGGGCTTAAAATGTACTGCAGTATTTTCAGTCAGCTGTTGAGCACTACAATTTACCATCAAGAGTTCACAGTTATCTTGGAATGGAAAACATAGAAGTTGCTCGCTTCATGCTGCAAGAAAGAGGTTTAAATAGACGCAGCCATATCACTGGAAAATCTGTTCATAACCAGAGAATAGAGCATCTCTGGTGTGATGTCAACTGGGTTATTGTGAACCACTTTTTGAACATTTTCCTCTTTCTTGAACACAGTGGGATTTTAGATCCAGCAGATGAGGTGCATCTGTTTTGTTTTCATCTAGTTTACATTACACTGATAAATAATACCATTGACCAATTTATCAGTTGGTGGAATAATCCTCCTGTAAGCACACAATGCAATTTCTCTCCCAATCAGCTCTGGATACAAGGAATGCTACATTCCAGAAATTCTGGGTATAAGGCTGTGACAGATGTGACTGCCAGCAAGGCTGTCAATTTATTCAATCATTATGGGATTGGTGAAGAAGGGCCTGCACCTGACATGCAGAGTGACTATGCAGTTTCGGTACCTGACACAATTCCTACTCTGACACATAATCAAGAATTGTCACTGCAAGAAGCTAAAGATGCAGTCTTCCAAACTGGTGATCATGATGGAATCATAGCTTACCAAGTGGTATTGCAGATTGCTTCTTTTTATTTAAACTGCTGTTCATGATTTACTGTATTAACTTCATGTACTTGGAATGAACTCTTAATACAGTTAGTATAAATTAGTTACTGCTATACATGTCAGTATGCCAAGAATTAAATTACTAATGACAATGTAAATGGGAAACAGTAACAATAATCAGTTATAATCTCAAATCTAACAGCCTTACTAATACAAAGGGGTGTAAAACTTTGAATAGCTGGGAAAAAAATACATGATGTTGTAGTGGCATAATGTACTAGATGCTTCATAGTATTAACACTTTAAACCTGAGATCTAGCCTTGATTTGCAATCACTCAAAACAATATTGCAAAACAATATTGCATGCATAATGGCTATTGCAGAGAATTTTATACCCTTGTAAATGAGCTCTTGTAAGCTCTTTTTGTTGGTGTTGAGTTTATCATGCTGTTAACGAAACAGTTAATATGCTGAGTAACTTGAAACTGGAACTTTGAACGTGGAACATTTCCTAAGTAACCTAAACGGATTTGAAAATTTTATTATTTTATGTGAAGGGTCCACTGGCATATTTCCCTTGGCCACTGCTTAGGAAATTAACAGAGATTTTGTATTAATTTGAGCAGTAGAAATTTCTAGCAATAAAGGAGCAAAACATTACCATAAACATATGTAAAGTCATGGATAATTGTAACAATTTCAAAGATTTTTTTCCTTAAAACCTCAAGTTACACCCTCCCTTATTCAATCTCTTAGTGGTTATGATTCTATGTGTTTTTTTATGTCATATGAAAAATTATGAATAAAAATGGTTAGTGGGCCCAAGAATAACACAACTGTTAACTGAAAGTAAGATAAGGAAGGATCATCCTTTCATGTCTATATCTTGCCAAAACCAATACTCTCATTCAATAATTCTTCTGATATCAGCCCAACGAAAACCGGGGTCATTGTGCAGAGTTTGCAGCTCTTGCTGTAAGATCTGTAGCCTTGGTCTGCCAACTAAACCGTTCCTTGCCACAGTTGAAAGACGATCGTTTATGGACGATGGTGCAGTAAACGTGGAACGTTCCGAGTCCTCGAAAATTATGTCAAAGTCCCTTGAAAGTTCGTTCATAAGAAAAACAAGTTCGTTTAGATCAGAGATCACCTCAACTTCGTTTGGGAAGGCTTCTTCTATTCTTAGAGTCAAAGTGACAAGAGTTCTTTCGTTTTCTCGTAAACGACGACAAAAAAAATCAGCCGAGTCGTAGGACGCAGTGTTCCTTTGCCCTTCTGCACTTTCCAGTAGCCTACCCAAAGGCGTAAAAAATCCTTCGATGTTGGGCAGCCAAATCCGTGCACCTTGCATAGTGCTTCTCAAACATCACTGATCATCTGCCTCTATTTCCGCCATTTTGAAAGGGTTCGTTTCCGGGGCTTCTTGTTTAATCTGACTTCCGGTCATTTCTATTTCCGCTTCCTCATCTTTTAGTTTTATTGAACATCTTTTAGTTAGGTAAGGTCACGCGTGAATGAGCCAGGAAAGCGATGTATGCTGCACAATATCGATGTATGACATCCAAAATCGATGTATTCCGGATGAAATTGATTTATTTTAAGACTTTAACTCATAACAATAACATAATTAAACAAAACATTAATGTATCCATGTTCGATATTTTGTCCGTAAAAGAACCTCATAGAAAGCCGTTGACTGCTTGTCATTGTGAGACATTACGGTACTTATACCAAAACCACAATCTCTGGATCTCTTCATTTTCCTGAGTTTTATAGAAGTCAAAGTTAATTAAAGCAAACACCCGTCGTGACGATTTTCAGGATCTTTAGTAGGACAATTTATAAACAGGGAGAGATTTTCTGTTATGGAAGAGAATACAAAATGTATTTTTAATTTTGCAATTTACTTTTTTTCCTTTCAGTATCCTTTTCGCATCCACATTATACCACAGCTTTCACTTAGAAATCTGTGGAGATTAAAATGGCTGCCTTCAGTGTTACTCTGTAAAGGTTGAATTTTTAATTTTATTTCTTGTCCAATTTGGTCACTTGCTGGAAAATGAAATCGGATTCTTTGCAAAAAATTAGTTAAAAAAGGGCAATTCATCCAGCAATCACATTCAAGGAAATTTTGACGGTCCTGATTAATACTAGTAATAGGACCGAGTGGAGTCCAATTCGGTCTGTAATCATACGAGTGATTAACAAAATCGGACGACCGCGAAGCGATGTGTTACTAACGAGTATGATTACAGACATAATTGGACGACATGCAGTCCCGTTACCCACCAATCAAAACAATTACAAACTTTTAGAAAGAAACTAAACATCGGTTATACGTTTTTTAAAAGAAACAACAGTTAACTTGGCGAAATGCGAGACAACAGCGCGCGCACACGACGCGTTCTCAAATCTTCTTTTTCGATCTCATAAGACCTCACAAAATGATTTTTGTAAACATTGCGCTCTTCTTTGCGCTTAAAATAATTTAATTTCGAAAGCATGCATTTCTCTTCAATAAAAATACTTCGTGAATAAAATTAATTTTCACCATGTGCTAAACCTTTTAATGGATTCAGCTTTTGGTGGTTGAATTTCGAAAAGATGTTCTCAATATAACTGTAAAAATTTGTTTGGGCAAATGATTGAGAGCGATACAAAAGCTTTTCAAAGTCCGTTAAAATGCAGTTATTTGACCTTTTGTGGTCAACATTCCAATCGCGAGTCACACATATTTTAATATGTTTCAACCCATACGAGGCTGAAAAATGTACATAGAAAGATATTTCCAAATGCTCTAACCTCATTTGCCGCAGGAGACCGATCCAGAGACCATTTCATGAGTGTGATTTTCTTGTCGTTCGTCGTATTTAGGTCTGTATAAATGATAACGTCCGATGAAACCACCAACCCTGTCGAACACCATCTTGTTGTCAAACGTTCGATATCTTTCTTCACTGTGGCTTCTTATTCAACGGTTCAGTTGACCGCGAGTATTGCTCAGTTTACAATGCAGTAAAAGATTACATCTGACAGTCTAATTCAATGCTAAACCGAGTTGACTACAAACATGTACGCCGTTTGAGTATTTGGGTTGTCACGCAATACCGGTGACAAAGGAACTTTAGGGGTTAGGTGAAGGGCAAAACTCCATATAATTAAGCACTATCAGAATTGAACCCTTGGAACCTACAAAATATTTTATTCTGTAAACATTTTTTGTAATAGTGTCATCTTTGTCTGGTGACAAACAGTAAAATACATTTATTTATTGCAGGGAATTATTCTTGTTTTTTTGGCGCTCTGTGCCTGTCGTACTTATTAGGGGTGTTTTTCTTTCCACTAAAATTGCAAAGAATACCCTAATATAGCATGAAAGAGAACCTTTTGTACATTTTTACAACACCATGCTACAAAACGCAGTGGTGGGGATGTGTGGCTTTTGTGAGGCTGGGGTGCTATGTTCCGTGGCCAATGGGTGGGGCTTGCGTAAGGGAGTTGTACTATTAACCACTAGGGAGTTTAAGATACGGTCACTACGGACTACGGACTACGGTAATACACGGCGAGGACCTGGTTCGAGATTTACTGCGCATGCTCGATAGCACGTGGGTTTCGCAGTCCGTCGTGTGGTTGCAGGCTACGGGGAGTAGTCGAGGAGATTCGCGTAGTGAGGACTACGTAAGTATTTTTTTGCCGATTTTTGACCAGTTTTGTTTTCTAAACGCTACTTTTATGTTGAACAGTCTTTAGGCAATTAAACTTGAGCGAAAAAGAAATAAAAATCGCATTTTTTTTCTGTTTCTGGTTCTGATTACTGACGCCCTTTGAATTCTGTTGTGTTTACAAGCAGATTAGGATGTCAACAGGAGATGAAAGCAGGTAATTCACTTTCTTTTTCTACTTTTCAAAGGTGAACTGCGAACTTTGTTGGAAGTATGTACTTTTTCCAAATCAAAATAGATTGTAAAAGCTTTTACAGGGTTCGTACAGGTCATGGAAAACCTGGAAAGTCATGAAATTTAAGAATTCATTTTCCAGGCCTTGAAAGTCATGGAATTTAATTGTCGGTCATTGAAAGTCATGGAAAATTGGTTATGTTTGCTAGACTAGTTCGTGCACAGTCCAAAATAAGGACAAAAAGACGTAATTAAACGGCTTTTAGAAATGGCACATATGGTGGACACTAAAGTGTTATCTGTTGCACTGAGTAAGGTAAATACCCTAAATAAAAACAAGGATAGTTTTGAAAATTTTCTTAAGTGACAGCTATAACCAAAGTCATGGAAGACTGGAAAAGGTCATGGAAAAAGTAATGGAAAGTCATGGAATTTGAAGGGCTCAAAAGAGTACG